CCCCAAAACCCCAAAACCCCAAAACCCCACAATATTAAAAATAAAAATAGAATTGAAATTAGGAAATATTGCTAAAAATACCTTCTAATTATTGAATATATTGTATCAGTATTTTTAATTGACTTGAACGCTTAAAATGGCTTAAAACTTTAGACTTATTTTGCTAGTACTAACTGCTAACTTGCTCTGTCGTGAAACTAGTTAGCAATGTTTCATCTTCAAAGATGTCTATGAGGTAATGAAAACGTTGACATTTACTTAAAAATTCTCATTAACTACTCTCAATCTATTTGATGTATGCGCTTTTTCAAGGACTTCTTACTATGGAAATGAGCATTTGCCGTATAGGGAAATCACTCGAAAGCTACTTTAATGGAAAGACAATGAGACTCCAGATGATTTTGATTTTGTTGGCTACAACTAGAAACTTGAGAAATTCTCTGAAAGTGGAAACTTCAATAACACGATTAAGTACAAATGGAGCGATAATCTAAGAATTCCTTTAACAACTCATAGAGTGTGGATAACAGGTATGTAGGACCCAAAGGAACTCATTGATCTCATTGGAAATAAAGTACAGGATAAACTAAATTCAACATATGATTATTTCGATACCTCGGCTAAATAAATAGGTAGAAAGTGGACCCATTTTTTATGGATTTAAGATTAAAAGATCTTGCCCAAAACAGTAAGAATGTTTGCAAGTTTTGGGGTAAGTGTCAGATCTGTATACGAACTAGAGGCAATGAAGGAAGATAGAATTAGGAGATAATTTGAATTTTATGTTGATAATGGTCCAAGAGCAGTTGCTGCAGCAAGTGACTTTATTAGAGCAATAGCAGTTTATGAGTATGGTGGATTATATTTTGATAACGACTATATGATTGAGGAGTGGGACTACAATATAAACCACTACTTAGATTTTATTTCTACTCGTTTACTAGTAACTACCAAATTAATAGGTCTTAGCAATGCCTGTTTTGCAGCAAAATAAGGTCATCCGATTATGGAAAACTATATTAAGATCATGGTAGATTTGTTCAAATTTTATGACGAGGAGGACCAAAGATCTCATACTCTCAATAGTTGTACTTTTAGAACAGTGGGATCAACAATCTTTGGAACGGGCCCTGCTATTTTCTCTGCAGTAGCTTATAATTTCTTTAATTAAGATGGCAATCAAGATAGTGTAATTAATAGGGGTTGGGAAAAAACTTAGTATGCTGATATTGATGTTGTTGATATGTTTGGCAATGAAAGTGGGCTGACAATTAAACTAACGAGTTCCGATATGATGTCAAACTCATGGAGGAATGATCTTAAGGATGTTAGAGTTTTTGGTTTCCCAGAGTTCAATGAGTTTTGAGGAATAATTAAAATTTTTTAAAACTTCAACTTGCTTTTGACTCTCTTCAGAGAATGATATATATAAAAAGGTATATTGTTAATCAAAATTTATTATTTCTACTCTAATAATAGATTTATGATTCAAGGGGTTTTGGGGTTTTGGGG